GCCTTAAGACCTGTTCACACATACAGCGGAGCGCTAAGTCAGCGCCACGTGGGCACTCGAAAGAGCGCTCATGTGGCGCTTCCTAGCGCGTGACTTTGTTTTAATATAGCGCGCGATCAGCGCTTTTGGGGTTTTTGTGTATGTTTATACAGCCGAGAACTTAGTCTGCTTCAACGGGCGACTTGTCTCTTAACTGTAGATGAGCAATTTAGCCAGTACTGTACATCCGCTAGCCTGGGGTCTTTAACGTGCACCACGCAGTAGTTATACACAACCGCACGAGTGTACGATGCTCATCCACAACAAAACGGGCAGGGGTGGGGATTGAACCCAGGATTTCTGGGTTCTGCAGCGCGAGCTTTCGCTCCACGTGCTCCGAGCTGGTGCGCGCTAGCCCCCTGGGCCACCGAGCCCTCCGATTAGCGTTTTATGGCGAATTCGGGTGGTCAATCGCCGGCGAGCTCACGCCGGCGGCACAGGCAACGAAAACCGCGCCAGCGGCGCACCACGTGACCCTCTCCACCCGAACACAAAGCGCCTGCAACTGGCGTTTTCGTCTGCCTGGGTCGCTCGTGAACTTCGTTAACTTCTTCCACGATTATTTTGTGATACAATAGGCACGCTCTAGGCATCAGCAACATATATTCGGACTCTGAGATGTGGGTAAACAAATTGTAATATATTTTGTTTAGATTCTCGAGGAACTGTTGCCATCTTACAAGGATCCTAGAAGGCTCACCAGCGTCGCCATTTTATATTCTATTTTCTTGTTATTACCTTTTTGCTGGAATCCTCAGCATTTTGATTTGACCCAGCCCTCTAAAATAGTAATGCGCGTTCAAGTGTCGAGCTGCAGCACTATCAATACATTTTTTACAACGGTGTAATAACACGCTGTGTCCCATAGGAAACTGATCTTGCGGAAGCTTCCCTTAAAATATTTTATCTTTATCTCCGTTGTTTTTGCTGTCTTTCTCGGACCACAGAGGGGTGTCTGTCTCAGTGGCTTCGTTTTCTACTAGAACACGCTCTCGGCGACCATTGTTTCGTTTGGTTCCCTTTCCCGATTCGGATATGACGATACCGGATACAGTCTGGCAGACAAGCTGCCCGACCTCTTGGAGCTCGGGCAAAAATTGTGCCGGTAAATTGCCAGCACACGCCTGAGAACTGCCACCCGAACGGCGCGCACTCGCCAGCCTTTGACCACGCGAACGCCCTTGGCGGAGATATGGCAAAATATTTTGCCGGGAAATGACCACGCGAATTCGCCATTAGCCTTGTTAGCGCTTCCGTAGCGCCTTGTTAGCCCTTCTTGTACCGCGGATACTGCTGCGGATTAGAGCATGCACTGCGGTTCCGGTGTCTCTGGTTAGGTGTGCATCAGCAACACTATGACGGACATGTGGGACGCTGAAATAGAAACGCTACGAACGCTGCTGCATACGAATGAGTGTATATATGTATGGACGGCTTAAAATCCAGAAGAGACTTCAGGGTGCTCGAGGTCTTTCACCACCGAGATACCGACAGGTACATGGCGAACTTGTTCCTAGGCTGAGGGATCGAGAAACAGAGCTCTTTCGAAGGTAATTATTTGTTTAACTGCGTCTCTTTAAACTAGGATCACGCATGTCGAGTAGAAAGCGATAAGTTCGTACCCAATCAATCAGTCGCTCAAAGATCATGACTCTGGATCGTCCGCCGGACCGTTTGCTTGGAGAGCAGCTCTTTTACTTTCTCTTCTTTCGCCACCAAAGGAAAAACAACAACAATGGAATCGCCATGCACGCGCTGTTCCTCAGCACCAAGCACGGCACAAGGAGCGCAGGTCGAGCTCGTAGCCTTAGCTAATGCTTTAGACGCTATTCTGCCTCTCGCACTCAATGCGCCAGCTCGTCACGAGCTGGCCTTTAAATGCAACAAAGTATTTCTTTACCCCGAAAGAGACAGATATGTTCCACCCAAAGGGCCGATTCACACATACAGCGGAGTGCTAAGTTAGCGCCTCATGAGCGCTGGAAGCAGCGCTCATGTGACGTATAGCGCACGGTTAGCGCTTCATCAGCGCTTCACCAGCGCTTCATCAGTGCTTCAGCTGCGCAGTGTATCCACGATCCTTGTACCCTCACACGCGCGATCACACCAGATTGCGTGCACTTCAGAAGATATTAAAAAAAAAAAGACGATCGCACGAAAACATGGCGGAGATGTCACAACTCACGAAAATGCGGGAGTGTGTATGAAGGCACTTTATGCTGCCTTCTCTTTTTAGGTTACAAAAGTATTCTCGAAACGTTTTGATGGCACCTCGTATATAAATGCTAGAACAGAAAATTTGTGATAAAATTTTTAATAAAAACACGCAAAACTACGCTCTAAAAAAAAGTATTTCAGCCAATTCTTATGCAGAGCACGGAGACAGGCGAATACCGCCCGAGGAATGAAATCATGCAAGAAAATTACAAAGCTAAGAATACGATCAGACACAAAAAAGAATGTAGTGCGCATGACGTTTCCCTTGCCCAGAGTTCCTGCGCAGATGAAATTCTTAATTTAATTTATTTCATTTATTTCTTACCTACAGTTCGCCCATGGGGCATTATCGTATAGGGGGGGGGGGGGGGGGGGGGATTTAGACATTAACATGCACAAATAGAGAATACATATCAATGATCTGCTACACCAGCGAGGCACACTACACCAGCGAAGGACACAAAATAAGCAACAAAAACATTAATTAATATCGCATCATCGAAGCACGGTACTCACACAAAAAATCATCAGTTACCACTTCATTATTCCATATTCAAACAGGTGAATTTTAGTTATAATCGTATTCCAAGTTTCCCGATTTGCTGGGATTTCTTTATTCTTTGTCGTGACCTGGCAATTCCCATGCTCTGCAAAAAAGTGAAACCACGCATTTTTTTTTTCTTTTTTAGAGTGTACTTATCCTGCGCTTGAGCGCCTTCTAGGATTTTGCGGTGGAATGTAGCCAGTCTTAAGTAGTAACGCGTTACTAGTAACGCGTTACTGTAACTTAGTTACATTTTTGGTAACTTGTAACTGTAACGAGTTACTTTTTCAAAATGTAACTTGCAACTGTAGTTCTATTACATTTTTCTGAGGTAACGATGAAAGTAACGACGTTACTTTTGTCGTTACTTTCCAGTGTTTTATGAATAATATATCACTGAACGAGTGCAATTTAGCCATTCCTTGCATTTTTCAAATCGTCTATTCCGACATTTCGAGTGTCAAGCTGGCCTTGCACAAAGTTGTGAATACGTTCTTTCTCGCGAGTAACGACCCGAATATATATCCACGTGTATATTTTATGAAAAAAAATATCTAGTTATTTTTAAGCACGCACTTGTTCTTTGTGACTGAACACTTACATCTTAGTTTCTTGAAGCACTATCTATGTTGTCGTTTTTTTTTTTTGTTTTTTTTTTTTTTTTTTTTTTGTTTTTCTGTGCGAACGCTTTTCATCGGGTGAACCAACCGTGAAACGACAATACACGCGGAGGGAACTTCGTATGTCTCGTATTTTGATTTCCGCCACTACTCTGGCATGGAAACTTTCAAACACTAACTTCGAGACGCAACTGCAGCTAAGTTACAATATGAAGTAAAAAGCGCACTTTTTAATTTTATGCAATAAAACGTCGTGAGGGGCGTTTTCTAGTTTTCTTCTCATTTTTTGTGTTATAGAAAAGTAACTGAAAAGTAACGTCGTTACTTTTTAAAAGTAACTGTAACTGTAACGAGTTACTCTTTTGTTGCGGTAACTGTAACGGTAACTTCGCTACTTTTTTCTGAAAGTAACTGTAACTGTAACGAATTACTTTTTAAAAGTAACTTACCCAAGACTGAATGTAGCTGCCTTGAAATGGCGTCTGATGTCACAGTTGCAGATTGGGGATTTGGCCGATGAAGTACTACCGCTAACAGTATTAGTGATTACGGGACCGGACGCCGGTAGAATGCTCTTTGAAATAGAAATTAATAGATGGACGAATGGAACCTATGCGGCGAGAAACTGATGGAGAGGAGGAAACGACCCTCAGAACGCCGAACTCCGGCTGGGATGTTTAGTGGGTAGACGTAAAGCCAGCTGCCTTTGTCTTCACTCACTCTTCGAACCTGAACGAGGAAACGCTGGACGCCGGCGTCTGGCAGTCAAACGCGTTCGAGTTGTGAGCATAGGGACAAAGGAAGGGGCTAGATTTGCGTGTACCCCCTAATCGTTCCAACCAGAGCTCCGCGTTTTGACGTTTCCCGGAGATCTCGTTTCCTCCTCTCCTTCAGTTTTCTTTTTTTACGTCGAGCAATGCTCTTCATTTCCGTGCGTGTGCATGTTTGCGTCAGTAAGATGAAAACTGCGACGCAAATGGCGCACAATAGTAAATGCGATGCCCCCCTTTTCCGAGACCAAACCCTCCACACATTTCGTGTCCGCCTGTGCGCTGTAACCACCGAAACAGGTGGCAGGTATTTGTTTAACTATACCTACTTCAATTATGCATACAGGGGATAATGCTCCCAACGAATGTGAAGTGTTATATTAGCTTGTGGAGGGCAAATGCCGTTACCAAAGTCCTTATTATGTTTCCATAGATATTGTGAGAAAGAAACAATGGAATGGTCGGATTGCTACAACAAAGCTCGTTGGTTTCCTGCGCGGATTCCATCCGCGAGAGATAGGGAGTTGAATTAGAATATAGTGTGAACAATTTTACTTACGCTTGCAGAACTTATGGACGTCGACTAAAAAGATTTATGGAGTTTCCATAGCAGTTTTCTAAGCTATTTAGTAAAGAAGCGTTTACCCGGTATGGAGACGCTGCTTATTGCAATCGCATTTCAACGAGCATCTGCGCAGAAATTTCGGCAACATTTGTTTTACGGGCAATTTGTTTTCTACAGTACTTGCTTTTTCTTGCCCCTATCCTTGAAATCGCATCTCTTTGTTGCTTTCCATCCCCCTGATACAGGAAGAGAACGAAATGCTGTTCTACTCCATGACCTGCGAGCCCAAAGATGGACCCTGGATCAAGTTCACCAAGATCGTGGGCTCGGCGTCATGATCTGACCTGTGTCCTCATTGTTAGTGTGGCTGGAACGACACACACACACACACACACACACACACACACACAAAATGTATCGACAAAGCTACGACTACTTGCCAACGGACGTCTCTTTCCGGGTTCCAAGTGGAATCGGAACTCCCTTTCGTCAAATCCCCGTCCCATCGAATGACGGCATTTTGTATCGTGGACTGAGCCAGTAATCATTTGTTTGCTATTCTAAGGCCAGAAGAAGAAGTTGTTCCCCGAGTAATACATATAGATAGTAAATATAATGAAGAAGCCACGGAAGGTACAATAGCCTGGTGTAAGGTGTCTCTAGAAGACACTAGAGCCATTAAATGAGCTGCGCTTAGAGTATCGGCACTCCGTTCTGTAGTATTAAAGCTCGTCGCCAAAATGTAATGGTCGCGTGGGGCCATTGCTATTGAGTGGAAAGAGACAGGAAAAGCTAGGATAAAGACAGCGCCCCGAAAGGCCTGTAGGGATGCTGAAAAGGCTTACATGGCCGGCGCGTGGGCAGCGGGGTGCCGAGGTACGGAGCCCAAGGCGGGAACCCCGACGAAAGAAAGAGACGTCACACCAGCTCGGACTTTTTGTGAAGACTGTTCTTATTTACAATATCTACATCAATCAGCGCGTGCCGCTGTCAAGCACGCGGCGCGCGGCACCATCTCAAATGTAAAGCCCCTCGATATGTTTGCGTTTGTCTTGCAAGTAGCGTCAAATGCTCGAGTGCACGAGACCCGCGTCTCGAGCGGCCCTTGGAAGCGAATGGCGGCGCAGCACTGAAATGAGCGGCCCTAGGAAGCGAATGGCGGCGGAGCACCCGCTTGTGGCACGTGTCTCGCGCGGTTCCCCAACAATGTTTGGCGGTACTTGTAAAAAACGCCTTTATCAAGGGACTTTACTCAAATGCAGCTGAAAACGCCATCTAGATTATTTACAGCACACTACATCTTCTCCTCCCTTAATAGAAAAATAAATGTTGGATAATTTATTAGGGAAGAGAAGAAAACAGCTTACTCCTTAAAGAAAATACAGAGTTCACGCACACACAAACATCTTACCAATTAATCACTACAAGCAAAAATAATTGTGAAGTGGTCGGAGAAAATAAGGATAAAGAAATACATTGGAAAGATACAGTCATAAATGCTACACTTTGTACTATGTCGAGCACTTTTCAGTTAGACTGAAAAGTGCTCTCTTCACTGCAACAAAAAAAGTCACTGGCGAGTCCTTTGAAACACGAATAACACTTTCACCTCTGCGAGTGAAATGAATGACTAGACCTTAGAAACGTAACAAATAACACTTTCAAAAAGCTCACGGTTTGACGAGTCATTTGAAACAAAGATTAACACTTTGACCATAACCTCTATGTACATAACATGGAAACATGAAAATATACTTAAGGCAGTTCATCCAAACCTTCCATGTCCATAACATGAAAATTTGACATTTGAACACATATGAAAAATGCAAAATAACCCTGTCTGTTCACATCCATCCTATAAAAATACAGTGCACACTATGAAATTGCAAATCACTATGACTTAAGTCCCAGAGTTTTTAAGGAGCGTCCTTGGAGTACATATCCACTTGAAAGTCACGAAATGTTGCAGGAAGTCGTCTACGCCGCACGGGGCGTTGTGGTGGAGAGTCCGATGGGGATTGTGGTGGAGTATGATATGTCCTTGGTGGTGTGTCTGCACCACCGTCACCTGATGTAAGAGTCGATTCTTGGGTTGCCTCGGGACTTGATTCCGGGTCTTCTGCTAAACCAGGAGCCACTGAAGGCTCGGAAAGTGTGGAGGCCTTTGGTCCCACGGAGTGCAGGGACTCCGCTGAGACCGTTGCGGAGCTAGATGACGGCAGCTCGCTCCAATACCCGAGTCCCAGTTGAGATGAACTTGATGCGGTGCTCAATATTGCACCGCTTGAAGGAATGGAAGGTTCAGGACCCTCCTGGAAAGCGAGCCTGGGGGCCTCTTGGAAGACAGCAGCCGGAGCAGCCGGCGGAACTGGTGGCTGGCTGCTGGCTTGATGGACTGGTACAGCAGCGCTGAAGGCCGCTTGGAGACCGGAATCAGGAACAGCACCGGGGACTGGGGTGGCGGGAAGGAAACCGAAAACCATCGCATCTTGCACGGTACAGGGTACCACGGAACTGGTGCCGGGTACGCCAGGGACAGGAAGGGCACCGGGTACTACAGGTACATTGGCAGCACCAGGGACCACAGCTACATGGGCTGCAGGAGCCGTATGATGAGGAACGACGCCTGGCACAGCAGGATCATGGGCGGGGCCAGGGGTCGCATGACTATGGGCACCAGGCGCCACAGCAATATGGCCAGGGCCGGGTGCCGCAGTAGCATGGGCGACCTCTTGGGCCGTCGGAACAGGACCGGCATCAGGGGCCGCAAAAACAGGACCGGCCGCAGGGGCAGGAACGGCAGCAGGGGCCGCAAGGACAGGAACGGCAGCAGGGGCCGCAAAAACAGGAACGGCAGCAGGGGCCGCAAAAGCAGGAACGGCAACGGGGGCCGCAAAAGCAGGAACGGCAACAGGGGCCGCACGGACAGGAGTGACGCTGGGGTCCGCAGCACGCAAAGTTGCAGGTGCCGGACCCTCAGGTGGCACATCGCCCAGGCTTACAGCTGGAGCCACATCAGTTGAAGCGGGGAATATGTCATCGTCCATAAGCCACAATGGCTGACGTTGGGGTGGTTTCAAGGTTGTACGTGTCATTTTGTCTGCATTCCATATGGTTCCATCATCTAATCTATATGTGGCTGGCCCTACTTGTTCATGTATATGTTGCGGTAGAGCATATTTGTTGCGCATTTTCCCTGTAATGTTGGGTTTGAAAACCTTCACTGCTTGCCCAGGAGCAAAAGCAGGGCACTTGACTGCTCGCCTGGCATCGGAATACTTCTTCATCTTCGTTTGATATTCCTTGCCTCTATCAGGAAGCTCTTCCTGAACGACATGTGAAGGGACGGTGGACTCTGGGGTCCCTCGCCCTTGGAGGTGCAGTCGCGTTCGGTGAGTGCGACCATGTAGAACAAATGCTGGTGGTTCTCCTGTCACTGCATGGCGAGTACTTCGGTAAACACAGAGATATTCCTTAATGGCTTCAGAAGGCGGACGATGTTGGACGAGTGCCAACTGTATGACAGACTTAAGAACTCGATTGAATCGCTCTACCTGCCCATTAGCTTGGGGATGGTAGAGGGATGACTTTGCATGCTGGATGCCATGCGTCTTTAAGAAATCGCTGAACTCCTTTGAAATAAATTGTGGACCATTGTCTGTCGTGATCTCTTGCGGCAAACCCTCGCGGGCAAAGACAGACTTCAAAAACTTTATGACTGCGGCAGTCGTGACGTTGTGAGCTGGTGCCACTTCAGGCCACTTGCTGTGGTAATCTACCAACGTAATAAAAATCTTTCCTGAGCAGGAGCTCGTTCGAACGGTCCAACAATGTCCATACCAAGTTTTACCCATGGACGAGTGGGAAATTCAACTGGTTGAAGAGGTGCGGGGGATGCCTTTGCAGCCTTATCTGTGGACTGACATACTGTACAGTTTTGAACTTTGGTCCTGACATGCTGATTTAGATACGGCCACCAGTATAGTTCCTTGATGATGCTGGTGGTGCGTGAAATACCTTGGTGTGTTTCATGTGCTACATCAATGACCTGATCACGGAGTGTGGACGGGACCACTATCTTCTCTCCCTGGAACAACAATGCATCTGTGACTGATAGCTGGTCTCTTACAACGAAATATGGTTTGAACTCTGAAGGTAACTTGTCCTCTGAAGGCCATGTGTTGGAAAGATATGTCATGACAATTGGCAATACAGGATCTTTTGCAGTTTCTTCCTTGAATTACTTCTGTGTGAGACATGCACAGACAATTGAAACTACCTCTTCTTCAAAAGACGTGCCTTCTTCGGTGTCTAGGACCGGAAGGCGAGACAGAGCGTCGGCAACTACGTTGTCGCTGCCTTTACGATACTTCATTGTGAAATTATAGTTGAAAAGTCTAGCAGTCCAACGACTGATGCGCCGTGGACGGACACCTGTCCCTTGAGTGGACATTAATGTGACGAGAGCTTGATGATCGGCGTGAATATCGAAGTGTCGACCCCAGAGATATACATGCCACTTCTCGCAAGCCCCGAGGCTTGCGAGAAGTGGCATGTATATCTTTCTCCTGCGGAGTACTTTCGCTCTGCTTCGGAGAGAGAGCGGGAAGCGAAAGCAACAGTCTTTAGTTGCTTCCCATGCTGCTGCTGGAGAACAGCACCTAGTCCGTAATTGGACGCGTCTGTGGAGACGACAACTGGAAGAGTGGGGTCGAACATAGCGAGAATGGGTGCCTGCTGAAGGCAGGACTTGACACTTTGGGAACTGGCCTCTACGTGGGACGACCAGACAAAAGATGTTCCCTTGCGCAGAAGCCTTCGGAGGGGTTCTACGAGAGTAGCACAGTGAGGGACAAACTTACTGTAATATTCTACTAGACCTAGGAAGGCCTTCAACTGCGAAGGTTCTGATGGAACTGGAAAACTAAGGACCGCGTCTATCTTCGACGGAAGGGGTGCTGGACCCTCCGCAGACAGACGATGACCAAGAAATGACAGTTCAGAAACATTGAAAACGGCTTTTCTATTGAGTTTCATGCCGGCCTCTCTAATACATTGGAGGACTTGTCTGAGGTTTCTATCATGTTCTTTCTGGGAGGAACCATAGACAATGACATCGTCCAGATAAAACTGGACTCCCAGACAATGTTTTAATATCTTTGGAAGTTGGAAAGTTCTGTTGGAAGGCCGCTGGTGCAGACGCCAGACCGAAACAAACTCGTTTGAAACGAAAAAGCCCTTCATGGGTAATGAATGCCATTAAGTCACGACTCTTGGGGTCGAGACGGACCTGGTGATAAGCAGACGCAAGGTCTAACTTTGAAAAATGGGAAGCTCCACTGAGGGAGTTCAAAAGCTCCTCAATGTGCGGGAGTGGAAAAGAATCAATAACGACAGCCTGGTTTGGCGCCCGCAGATCGACACACATACGGATTCCACCGTCTTTCTTCTTAACTACTACAATGGGGGACACCCATTCCGACGCGTTTACGCGCTCGATAACGCCTTGGCGCTCGAGCTTCTGAATTTCCGCACTGACGGCATCACGCAACGTGATCGGTAAGCGGCGAAGTTTAGCCTGTACCGGCGGGACATG